ACCGTGGACCTGAAGGGCAGAGCGCACAGAGGCCGGTCGCGCCGCTGCAACTAGAAGTTAAGTCTTCAGGAAGAGTCGCCCGTCACCTCAGGGAATGTGGGCCTGTGGTCCCCAAGTAGGAAGGACCAGAGGCAGACTAGCTTGCAAAACCCAAGCACAGGGGCCGTGGGAGGCACGGTAGTGAAGGCAGGAGGCCCCAGAGCAGCACTGGGGGAGTCAGGGGTGGGACTGGGGTCCCCGCCCAGGGCTTCCCACATCAGTGACAAACGCCGACTCTATGCCTTCTGTTTCTCGATCTGTGGAGTGAGGGGTTTGGTTTGACCCGTGGCCCACAGACTTTCTTGTTTTCCTTCGAGAGGGAGACTGGCTCCTCTTTGGATGGGAGTCAGGCCATGTCTCCTCCTAGGACCCACTTGAGCTTCCGGACACTGTCACCCCGTGGGCCTGGGAGCACCAGGCACAGTAAAGCAGGTGCGGATGTGGAGCCGGGTGCGTGGCAGCAGCTCAGAGCCGGGCCTTGGTATTACCCGTAGTTTTCCCTGCAGAATGGGGGCAACCCTGCCTTCCCTGCCAGCCTCCCTGGCTGGGAGCAAGGGACAGTGGGGGGAGGGAAGGGTGCTGTGGCCTTGAGCCTGCCGTGGTCCTCTGATGCTCCACCGGCTTCTTTCTCCCCAGCAGGTGCCCCCCGTGAGCAGCAGGAGAGGAGATGAGACCCTCCCAGGTGCCCCAGCCCTGCCTTCCAAGGGCGATGTCGGCCCGCTCCACTCCTCTGGCACTCTGCTCCCAGCTGAGGCTCCAGTCACTGTGTTACTGACCAGGTCAGGGGCGGTGGGGACTGTTAGGATGAGCTGTCCTCACACCAGACACTGTCCCTGCCAGGTCAACACACATCGCTGCAAAAACATTTGCTGTATTTTCAAAAACGGGTGCATGTCTGGGCAGAGCCCAGAGAGAACTGGGTGGGCGTGGAGTCAGGAGGTCGCCCTGATGACCTCCTGCAGTGCCAGTGCTTCCGCTATCCTCACTGCTTTCTGAGCTCTCACTCCACTCACTCCGTGGTCTTTGTTGGCTGTTGGGGAGTTGAAAGTGAAAACCTCTGAGTCAGGTGGTATTGTCAGCTGACAGCAATTACTCTCCTACTCCCCTAAGCCTTCCGGACCTCCAGTATCCCAGGCATCCACCCACAGAGACCAGTAACTCAGGAGATGACCAAAGAGAGCCAGGGAGGACAGGGTCAGGAGTGGCGGGCACTCAGGGCTGGCTGGGTTCCAGGCCCCTCTCCTCATCCGTTTTTTCACGGTAGAGGCTAAAAGTCAGTTTGGCTGGGAAAGACGGCAACAGTGAATTCTTAGCAATGTGCTCATTTAAATAAAACCCATCCAAGGCTTTCCTAAATGCTGGAGACCTAGATTTGTTTAATATACAACCCCTGAGAATTTTTAAAGCATCAGAGTTGGATAAGCAGTCAGCAGGAGAAGCCGACGTGCTCTGCCCGGCCGTCCATTTCCCTGTGGAACCTCACCCACCGTGCAGTCTCCCCGGTGCCCTCCCGTCTCCCTGCCCCTGCCCGGGCTCTTCTCTTTCCTTCAATGCCTTTCCCCCCTCCCTCAGCTAATAGTCTCCTACTGATCCCTCAAGACCTGGCCCCATAAGCCCTGAAGGCCCTGAGGTGCACCTTCCTGCTACGTGCATGCCCACCCTTGTCCCAGGTCTCCCTCATTCCACCTGCCTTTTTTTTAACCTTTTAAATTTATTTATTTATTTATTCTGCATTACAATTCTTAATACACCAGTATGCCATAATTTATCATATCTCTGATTCTATATAAGGATGTTGACACCAGATTCACATCTTCATACATGTATTTTGTACAATGATGAGGGTCTCCTTTCACCATCCATGCTATTCCCCTTCTCCTTCCCTTTCCCTCCCACCCCTATTCCCTATCTAGAGGTAAGCTTCCTCCCTTGCTCTCCCTCCCAACCCCAATTTGAGTCACCCCTCTTATATCAGAGCCACCTGCCTTTTTAATGTGGCCACTAGAAAAAGTTCAGTTACCCGTGTGGCTCATGCTCCATTTCTAGTGGACAGAGCTGATTAGACTTTTTTGAATATTCTAGATTATTCTTTTCCTCTCCTCCGTCTCTCAAACATCAGCAGCCGCAGAACACCCAGCTCTGAGGCATGCGCCATCAACTCCCCCCTAAGCTGTCTCGCCATGGCACCTGCAGACCTCCGGAGCGGCTCTCCCAGGTCCTTTGTGAGCTGGGCTCACAGCCTGGTTCCCTACAGGATGCCTGTGCTCCAGCACTGCTTCTCAGCAATCTCGTCGTCTATGTTGGTAGCTCTGGCTGCAGGTCCTGACCCCACCTAATCTCGTCCTGCACTCTCCCTCAGCCTTTCCTGGGCGGGTTGTGCCCTGCACTTGTTCACACCAAGAACCCCAGAACGTCGCCACCCGGCTCAGTTACAGAGGCTGTTCTTCACCCCACCTCCTACTGCCCCTCCAGTGCCCGTGGTATCCCTCATCCACATCCCTGGACAGCTGGGATCTACCTCTGATGCTACCGCTGCTGTCTGCTGTCATCTTCCTCTTGGTCTCACTTTTCTCCTTACCCTGTTGGTTTCCCAGCTCACGGTCATAGCCATCGCTTGCCCTGCACTTCAATTCCACGGGCCCTGCTCTCGGTTGTACCAATCTATATTTCCAACCTTGGGTAGATCCTTGTCCATCCTGGCACCTGGACAATGGGGCCGTAGCTGGACGCAGCACACCTGAGCTGGATTATCATCCTTCAAACTCCCGAGCGTGGGCTGGTGGACTCCGAGGCCTGCCTGCCATCCTGCTGTTTGTCTCTTTCCTGGTCTTTTCTTTCACTTGATCACATCACTCTCACCCTCTCTTCTTAAACCTTGAATCTCTCCTCGCCCTTGACTGATGACCTTGACCTTAGTTTGCTGAGAAAAGAGATCCTGTGTCTTCAGGGAGAACATCTAACTTCTTTCTACCCCTTCTGCAATCACAGCTACCCACCAGGCTGCATCTGGGCCAGAGCTCTGCTCTGTGTCACCGCGAATTGATGGGGCTCCTCGTCCAGCACAGGCCAGTGATCCCCAAGCTCTAGACTCCCACGTTCCTGAAGCATCAATTGCTTCTTTCTGGGTGATTCCTCTCAACTTATCAAATCTCCCTCCCTCCCCAGCCCCGGGAGGCTTGTCCATACCCTGTCTCCACTGACGCGTTCTCTCTAAATCCACTTTAGCCAGGGCTACTTTCCCTTCTCTACCAGAACGGCTTCCATCAGGGTCAGAAACGACTCTGCTCTGAGAAGTTCCACTTCTCATCTCACTTGAGCTTCCAGTAGGATCCGCTGAAGCTTCAGTTGATTCCACTCCCTTTGCCTTGAACACTTGGCTGCCCCCTGGATGCACCCTCCCTTCTCAGGACACTCAGCCTGATGGAGCCCTCTCGGTTTCCATTGCTTCTTCCTTCTCCTCTCCTCTAAACTTTGAAACGTGCCAAGATTCAGTCCTTAGACCTCTTCCCCTTTTCAGTGACTGGTGCTTTGCAGGTGTACCCATCTGACCTCAGGATTCCAAGTTCCGCCTATTTGCACACAGCACCCACATTTAGATCCCTGCATACAACTGTCCCCAGCTCCTGGAACTCCACTGGATGTCCCCACTGGTGGTCTCCTAGGCTCTCAAGCTCCAGAAGCCTCCAACTTGCTCCACTGCTGACTGGTCCATTCAACAAATGGCTAGACACTTATCCTCTCTTTCTACCAGTTGTATCCAGGCTCCATCCAGGTATTGCTGTCTATGGTCTAGTCCATGTCACTGTCCTCTCTGTCTGGGCTGATGCAAAAGCCCCAATTTGGCCTCTCTCTTCCTGCTGTGCAGCCCTTGGAGTCTAATCTGAACACAGAGGCTGTTGACTCTTGAGTCCTGTTAGTCACTCCTCTCAGAACCTTCTGGTGGCTTCTAATTTCACTGGGAGTGAGAGTGAAATCCTTGCAATAGCTATTGCACTATGCTGGATCTGGCCCCGTCACCTGTCTGTCCTGCCTGACTGCCAGATTCTGCCCCTGCTCATGCTGTTTGGGCCATACTGGTCTTCTTCCTGTTCTTTACAAACATCCAGCTCATTCCTGCTTCCAGGCCTTTGTACTTGCTGATCCTTCTGCCTAGAAAGCTCTTCCCCAGTATCTGCAGGGCTGGATAGCTACCTCCTTCTTGTCTTTGCCCAAGAGTGACCTTATGAGTGGCATCTTTCCCATTACTCCAGGCAAAATAGAAACCCCAGCCTGCCCTTCTCCAGCTCAGCTCTGCTTTCCGCCACAGCACCTGTTATGCTCAGACATCAACTTGTTTACGTTGTGGTTGATCTTTGGCTATTGACAGCCTTCCCACTGGAATTTAAACTCCAAGAGGCTGGTGTGTGTTCTGTTCCATGCACTGCTGTGTCCCGGTGCCTAGAACAGCACCTGGCACTGAGTACTTGTTCGACGGGTGAATTTGAGGAGCACAGTTGCAAACTTCTAACTTCATGGTAGAGTGAGTTCTGGTCCTTGTTCTGGGTTCCTGAAGTTATGGGGGGTCTTTGTCTTCTAATTATGAAGGAGAACCTGCCCCACTGGAAGGAATTTCCTGAATCCCACCTGCATGGCAGAGGGACGCGTGAGTGGGGAGGTGCAGTAGGACAGGGCCTCCTGGGCTTCTGGATCATACCACTGGGAGGCAAGCACCCAGCTCACCAACTAGAACTTGGCCCTGAGCCACAGGCAGATGGTAACCAAGGATGAGGGGCGACCGGGGATCAGAAACATCACCAAATCAGTTCTTTCTCTTGACGAATGTCTCATCTTATCATCATTAGAGAGCCACACAGTCCATTGAACTTCTTAAAAGTAACCTGGAGGTCATGATTCACAGCAGAAATCTCCCTTTTATTTCAATGCACCACTTTTCACTGTTTGTTTGTCTGGCTTGTTCACAGACCGTCACCTGAAGCACCCTGCCGAGGTCTCCTTATGGATGGGTCCAACGTGACCCCGACTGTCGCGGAAGCGTCCCTGAATGCCTCGAGCAGCGGGAACGCCTCCGTGGGGAGTCCGCGTCCGCACATCCCAGTGGTGCACTGGATCATCATGGGCATTTCCCCGCTGGGGCTGGTGGGAAATGGAATTCTCCTCTCGTTCCTCTGCTTCCGGATGAGGAGAAGCCCCTTCACGGTCTACATCACCCACCTGTCCATCGCAGACATCTCCCTGCTCTTCTGTATTTTCATCCTGTCCATCGACTATGCTTTAGACTATGAGCTCTCTTCTGGCCACTACTACACGATTGTCACGTTATCGGTGACTTTCCTGTTTGGCTACAACACGGGCCTCTATTTGCTGACGGCCATCAGTGTGGAGAGATGCCTTTCAGTCCTCTACCCCATCTGGTACCGATGCCACCGTCCCAAGCACCAGTCGGCATTGGTCTGCGCCCTCCTGTGGGCGCTTTCTTGCTTGGTGACCACCACGGAATATGTCATGTGCATCGACAGCGAAGAGGGTCACTCCCGAAGTGACTGCAGGGCGGTCATCATCTTCATAGCCGTTCTGAGCTTCTTGGTCTTCATTCCCCTTATGCTGGTGTCCAGCACCATCTTGGTGGTGAAGATCCGAAAGAACACGTGGACGTCGCACTCCTCGAAGCTGTACATGGTCATCATGGTCACCATCATCATATTCCTCATCTTCGCCGTGCCCATGAGAGTCCTCTACCTGCTGTACTATGAGTACTGGTCCACGTTCGGGAACCTGCACAACCTCTCTCTGCTCTTCTCCACCATCAACAGTAGCGCCAACCCTTTCATTTACTTCTTTGTGGGCAGCAGCAAGAAGAAGCGGTTCAAGGAGTCCTTAAAAGTGGTTCTGACCAGGGCTTTCAAAGATGAAATGCAGCCTCGGCGCCAGGAGGGCAATGGCCACACCATCTCCATCGAGACGGTCGTCTGAGGCCTGAGGAGGACAGAAGTGTAGACAGAGGTGGTGGAGCACAGGTGACTGACTTAAGCGTGTTTAAACTCCTGATCCCAGAAGGATGCCCTTTTCCTGTGCATGAGATGCCGACAGCCGTGAGAGTCTGCTCTTGTCCTGTCTCCACTGGAAAAGCCTGAGTCCGCGTCAGGCCTCTGTCACTTCTGTACGTAACAATCCCCTCTGTGCTCTTGGTGGCTCTTCTGGTGGCGTTTTATTGTGATTCACAAAAGCTACTCCATAGCTGTGACCAGGAGAGGGACCACAACAAAGTGTGCAGCGTGGAGGGAAGAACCAGGGCTTAGCCTGACTCTGCCATCTGCACCCATGGCATCAGGCGGGTGCTCTGACCTGCCTGCGCCTCCCTCCCTCCCTCACTTATGAAATAATCACAGAGGCTGTCCAGACTCCCAGGGTTGCTGTGAGGGTGAAGTGGAGTTATGTCAAGACCTGGCACGTGGTCAAATGTTCAATAAATCCCCTCCTCACGCCTTCAAGTGGGAGATGAAGCGCTCATTTCTGCCTGGTAAAGGGCACGCGCGCAGCTCTATCTTGCCCAGATATTGTCACATCTTTTAAAATGTTGGGTGTAGATGGGCGAAGGCCTTTTGGCTCACAGTGTGCAGTTTCTCGTGGCGTGGCACCTTAGGAGCCTGGTGTCAGCTGTGAAGACAGGCACTTGCCCACCCGGGGGAGTTCCCTGCAGCCTCCTTTCTCGGGGTGAATCCCTGGCTGCCGTGACTCGTGACTCGGGGCTGGCACTGCTCTGCTGGCACGTGAACTTCCTCAGACACAAGCTCACGAGGCCGGCTGTGTTCTGAAGACCCCCCTCCAGGGTGGGTTACTGGTAGCCACACAGACCTCACCTCAGCCTGGGCAGGTCTCTGCAGCTTGATGCCTCCCTTCTTGAGGCATTTCGTTCATGGTTCCTGGAAGGGGGCTGAGCCGCAGGGCTGTCAGGGAGGCAGCCACACCTGGAGGGATCTGGAGGTTCTTCCTCAAGACAGATCTTCGCACGGCTCCTCCAGCATCTCTACTCAGCTCGGGCCCAGGGCAAGCTCTGCCTCCCGCCTGCCCAGAGTTGCTGTCCCCAGGCAGCTGGTCCCGCGTGTTAGTGGGAAACCTTCCTTGGCTAGGGTTGCGTGCATTGTTAATTCCCCTTGGAAATGGCCATGCCTCGTGTGAATCTTCATGTGAGCAAAATGTTCAAGTCCACCAGAAGTCCACTGATATTTGTTAAATCTTTGTCCTTCAAAGGGCCGGAGAACCAGGAGGAGATGATGGCTCTCTCCTGCTGCCTGTTCCCTCCGTCCCTGTCCTCAGAAACAACCGTCACCCTTACGCACGGGGACAGCTTTGCTGGGGGAGATGTGTGAGTCTCTCCCACCGAGCTGGGACCTCGCTGCCAGCCAAGCTGGGTGCGGGAGGCTTTTCGGTGGGTGACGACATGTGACTCAGAAAGCAGGCAGCTTGCTGTCAGGAGCCCAGATGGGGCCTGGAGCAGCGACATTTAGAACGATCTTGTTTTTGGTGGAAAACAGAGCCTCTTCCCTGGGGAAGAACAGGATCTGGGGATCAGAGTGGTTTCCCTCTGTTTCCCCGGTGCTGAGTGCTGGGCTCTGGGCTAGAGACGGGGATCAACCTCATCCCGTGCCCAGGGGGCTGTGCTCCTCAGATTTTTTTGTTGTGAAAAGTACCTGAGGCAATGGACTTACAGGGGGAGACACCCCTTGGTTCATGGGTTAGAGGTTTCAGTCCACAGTGCTTGGCCCCCGTCCTTTGGACTGTGGTGGCCCAGGGCATCATGGCCGGAGCATGGTGGAGGAGGCCTGTTCATCTCAGGGCAGCTGGGAAACAAAGAGGAAGGGGCTGGGGCTCCAGGAGCCTGCCAGGGACATGCCCCCATGACCTAACTTCCTCTCATAAGTGCCACCACCTAGAGGTTCCACCACCACCCCATAGTGCCACAGAATGGCCACCGAGTTTGGGACACACTTTAAACCATACCATGGATCTCTGTCTCCAAGAGGAACCCAAGACTGTTCGAGACAAGGGGTTCTAGATTTGTACCCAAGGAAAATACGGTGAACGAACTGAAGCCTCCATCTATTGCTTTCTTGCAAATAAAGTGGGGAAATTGAGTTCGATTATGAACATGAAGACTATTCTAAACTTCTTAAGGGTGATGACTTACAAAGAAGTAGGATTTGGCGTCTGGTTGTGTTGTAAAGACAAATCCCTCTCACTCTTCACCCAAACCCACCCCCTAAGTATCCTTATTTAACTAAAACTAAAACAAGATTCAAGAAAATTTGCAAATACAGAGAGAAGCCTAGATAATTCATACCCTTGGGGCATTTAGACAATTAGCTTCAGTCGTCATAGGTTACTAGGTCCATTTCTGAGAATTTTGGGGAGTGAGGGAGATTTTTCAGAGGTGACACCTGTCCTTAACCAAGGGAAAAGGATGGCAGCATTCATGCCCCAAGTGTCCTGCAAAACCCCAAAATGTGAACAAGGCAAAGACAGGCAAGCAGAAGGCCCTGTCCTCTGCCACAAGAGAGAACGCCCCCCACCCAGCTGCAGCTCCAAGCCGCACACAGACACCTGTGTGGAGAGCGCCGGGGGCAACGGTGGTGAGGGGCAAGAAGGAGCCAGATGTCTTATTTTTTTAATTTTTATTTTGGTTACGGTCCCTCAAGCCTGCTGGGCAAGGGTCCACCATTGAGTCACATCCCCAGCCAAGTCGCATCTTTTGTAGTGAAAAACGAATGTCCCCCTGAAGTGATCTTTGGGTTCTTGAAGGCGGGCGGGATTTGAAGACAGGTAAGATGGAGGGTGGCAAGCACACGGCAAATCCGCTCTCTGGGCCCTCTGCTGAGTGGCTGGTCCTGGATGTGCGTGCTGTCCTGGCCACCTCTGCCTCATCTCTCTCTGTTGGGGTTCTCCCTGACCTTCTGCCACTGCGCTCTTCATGTCCTTTGGAACAGGGCTCCCAGGCTGTCTCCCGCCCCACCCTCTGGCCCTCTCCCAGCTGCTCTCATTCCTTATCTCCAGGAGAGTCCTCCATGGGGCCCGCCTCTGGTCAGCTCAGGCCCCCGGCTCCTCTCCTCAGAGCGGCTGCAAGTCTCACCCTCTGCAGCTGGTCCTGACCTTCTACTCCTGCTGCCTGGGGTCCCTACACCACTGAGCCCTCTCCTCCCGATCCTGAGTCCACCGCGTCTCTGAATCATTCCTCTCCCTCCCACTCAGTGCTCTGGGGTCCCTGTCCCTGTCCCTGTCACTCCCTCACTCTGCTCCTCAATTCCCTGCCCCCGGCTCTATGTCCTGCACCCTGCCCCGTTACCTCAGCTCCAAGCCAGGCTGCCTACTGGGGTGAGGAAGTCCCAGGGCCCATCAGAGGTGGGCTCCTACAGACCGGGTCCTCACGGGGGCTGCTCTTCCCAACTCCCCCCCCCTCCACCTCTGCATCCGGAGCCTTCCCCTCAGGGGCATGGATCCCTGTCACCTGCTCCTCATAACCTGTGTCACAGACTATGGAGAAGAAAGGCCACAGGCAGTGGCCTCAGACCCTCCCCACGTTTGCCGTGACCTCAGTCACGCTTGCCCCTTCCTGCCCGCCTGCCTCCCCGGCAAGAATGCTCCTGAATCACCACCAAGTCTTTTGTTTTTTTTTCAAGAATTCAAACTGAAGTCCTCGCGGCGGTCCCCACACTTCCACGGGTGCTGGCCCCCGTCTGAGTCTTGGGTGCCCCTGCGCTGGCCCTTGGCTCTCTCCTGCAGCCCCTGATTTCTTTGCCAGTCTTCAGAGATGCCAAGATGCTGCTGCTTCTGGGCGCTGTGCATCGACGTTTCCTCCCACCCAGAAAACCGTGCCCAGCCTCTGGCCGCGTGTCACCTCAGTGGGGCTCTCCCCGGCCGTCCCACAGCAGGCTCCCCCTCGGTCCTTCCCTCAGCCGCCACATTGGCGTTGAGTTGCTCCTTCTCTCTCCTCCCCTGGAAGCCCAGCTTCTTCCTGAGTCGGGGACTCAGCTCTCTGCTGCAGCCCTGCACCTGCCGTGGGCTGCGCTCCTGACTTGCGGTGGGATTGAATCCACTGCTCCTCTCTCTGGGGTGCTTCTCTTCCACATTTAAACAGGTTCTAACAGTTCCCATCTTAAATAATCAAAAGACAAAGCCATTGCTTGCTCCTAGCACCCTATCCCTCTTTCATCCTATCTTTCTCCTCCCTTCCAGATTACCTTATGGAAAGGTTCCTCCTTGCTCACCTTCCTTACTTTATCACAATTCACGCTTCACATCCCAGCTTCCAAATTGCCACCTGACTGTCACAGTGAACTTGGCCCAGCAGGGAAATGAGTGGCTTTCACACCTGCCATATCTAATGTTGTCTTAGTATGCGTCACATTGCTATCACAGAGCACCTGAGTCTGGGTAATTTATGAAGGAAAGAAGTTTATTTGAGGTCATGTTCTTGGAGGTGAGGAAGTCCCAGATCAGGTTGCTACATCTAGTGAGAACCTCCTGGTTTGTCCAAACAAGGCAGAAAAGTGGAAGGGCAGGCAGGCACCTGCAGAAGAGACCGAGCATGAAGGTCGGCCCACTTGCAGGACAATAAACCCACTCCCATGAGGGAGAGCTAATCCCTCCTAATGACTTAGTCACCTCTTCCAGGCCTGGCCTCCCAACCCCACCCCAATGGAACCATATCACAACATGCGTTTGGGAGGGGACAGTCCACTTTCAAACCATTTTTTTTCCTTAGCCTATCGTAGCATTTGACTCAGATGACCACACTCTTGAACACATGGCTTCTCTTGGGTTCTAGTTGGCTTCTTTTCTTCTAGCTCTCATTTTGAATCCTACCCTACTGATTTGGAATCTCCCCTTCTCTTTCCTGGCTCTCGTCCTGCTCCTCCCTCCACCTGCCATGTTCTCCATGATTTGCTCGCTGGCCTCTGCCCTTCTTCTGAACACAGATTCAATGACCCTCAAATCTATGTTTCCTGGGCAGAACTCTTTGCTGGGCTCCAGCTGTGTGTGTCCAACCACCGAATGGACATCTTCCCTGCTGCCCTGCGAGTGCTTCAGATATAACCCGTCTGTCCCCCCACCACGGTGCCATGTTCCTTCCTCAGTAAACAGCACCGGTTACTCTGTCACCAAAGCAGGACTCTGTCCTTTGCATAGACTGGTTCCCCCTTTCCCCTTCTTTTTAATTTACATCTAGCAAACTCCGTTTACTCATCTACACCCAGTTCAAGCATCAGTGACTCGGAAGAGCCTTCTAGAAGCTGAGTTCCTTGTCAACCACAGACCCTCCACATCTCTTCCCCTTCCTCTCCCAGCTGATGACTTGTTCCCTTTACACAAGGGAATCAGAAGCAAGTGGAAGAACTTTCCACAGGTCCCCACTCCCACGTGACAGCTGCATCTCTCTGCAGAGGGGAGCTCGCACGCTGGGGGGGAGCCCGCATGTTCCTGGCTAGGTGTCCCCCCCACACACACACACACACTGACTTCCTGACACCACTCTTCCCTCTCCGTCCTGCACCATCAACTTTAGTCCAGGCCGGGAAGGCCAGGGTTTTGGGGAAGCAGGGTGGCTGGGACTACCTTCTCCCTGCTACACGAATTTGAAGAATGAAATCCACCCATACAACGGGGAGAGCAAATGTTTTCGCTGCTGTAACTAAAAGATCAGACCAGAACAATTGTAGAGGCTGAAAAGTTCGTTTAAGGGCTCAGGGCTTCAGAGGTCTCAATCCAAGTCAGCAGGCTCCAGGTGAGGCAGGACATGATGGCGGAAAAGTGTGGCAGAGGGAAGCAGCTCAAATGATGCTCAGGAAGCAGAGAGGGGTCTCTACTCTCCAGATACAAAACATACCCCAAAGCCGTGTCCCCAGTTCCCACCTCCTTCAGCCACACCCCACCTGCCTCCAGTCACCACCCAGTTAATCCCATTGGGGATTAACCACCTGAGCTTCTGGGGGACCCCACTTCTAAACCACAAGAGCAAAGTAAGAGGAGTCATTGAGTAATGGGAAGAAAGCAGAGCTCCCAGAGAGGAGGGCTCCCAGGAGAGGGATGCCAGAGAGTGGCTGTGGTCTAGGGTTTCTCTGGACCTACAGGGCAAAGGGAGCTAACCCCTGTCCAGTCCTGGGCAAGGCGTTCAGTGTCCACAAGCTCTTCATGTTCTCTTTGGTTCAATCAGGTTACCGCGCCTTTTTTGGTGGGAGTCTGGGTACCAGGCAGTAGGCGTCTCACTATCAGTTTTTTCTTTTTTTTTTGTTTTTCTCTGTTTACACAGCAGTTGTCCTGATCTCGATGAGGCCTGGCTGTGTCTGTAGGTTCTCAGCCCCGTGACACCGAAACTGACCTCGAAGGAGCCCAGGTCTCCTGCCTGTCCACTTTGACCCTTTCACCTGCCTCAAATGTACCAGTTGTCTCTCTGTAGACAACACTGTTGGCACTGACATGAGCCACTGCAGAGCTACAGCTGTCCTATGCCATTCTTCCCATTCTCTGTGCCCAACAGTCCCCAGTGCCCAGCTGGGATGGGGACAGACTGGTCAGTTGCCTTCATGGAGTTGTTTAAAGAGCACCTGGAAATAACTTTCCTATGCTCACATGTGAACACACGACCAGCGTAACTCCACATCACGTCCAACCCCAAGAATGGGATCAGAATTGCAATGGGTTGCATCCCGCGTTTGTATAACATGTCAAAACATACCTTACTGTCATGTTTATCTAAAAAAAAAAAAACACATCTGGGAGGTGCCTTATGGGATTCCTACAATTTTACCATGAGGAAAATCATTTCTTTAGGTTAAATTTTGTGTTTTTAACTCAACCCTTCTAAAATTATAAGCATTCCTTGACTTCTAATGGGGCTACATCTGATGATCCCATTGTAAATCGAAACTACCCTGAGTCAAAATTGCATTTACTCCACCCAAATACTGAGCATCACAGCCTGGCGAAACAGCACCCTGGAGTCTCAGTCATTGCCCTTGTGGTCACGTGGCTGACCGGGAGCCGTGGCTCTCTGCCACTGTCCAGCATCTGGAGAGAGGGTGGGACTGTATGTCACCAGCCTGGGGAAGGATCCAAATTCAAAATTCCAAGGACAGTTTGTCCTGAAGGAGA